AATTACTTGTTGATTGTGTGAATGGATAGTGTACAGTTTTCTGGAGGATATCTAAAGAAGTTGAGGAGCTTAAAGAATTCAAGATTCAGTCAAGCTAGAGTTTTAAGCATTGTTACAGAGAGAGTAAACAAGTTGTTGATAAACTTGCCAATTATAGCCATACTCTCGCTCATTCTAAAAAATTTCATGAATTTGTTGAACTCTCTCCTCAAGTTAGAGGCCTCATGTACATGGTGTTGATATCCAATTTTGGCCCTCATATTTTTTAAACAATATATATGCTTTCAAATAGCATATTTGCATCATTATTTAATTTATAAATTATATGCACGCATTCCCATAATTTTTTATAATTTTCAGAGCTTTTAAATTATTTTTCCTGCATTTAAATTATTTAAATATTTATTAATTGCTCCTTCAAATTATTTCGTGATGACTTAATCACCTAAAATTATTATTTTCACCTATAATATATATTTCAAATATTTTTACTTTATTTTATATAATTATATTTATATTTTTAGCCATTCACCCAATTTTTGCAGTAATAGCCTGCAACCGCACATAAATGCTCTTTATTTATGTTATTTGTGCCAAAATAGCATTTTATATTTTTATGATACTAAATTATTATATTTAATTATTTTAGTACATAAATAATATTTTTACTTATTCATCAAATATTTTAATAAATTATTTTTGTGTATTTAAATAATAGCCTAGTTTTAAAACCAATTTTGAACCAAACAAACCCCAAGTTTCTGGCCCAACACCTCAAAGCCCAATCCAAACGACCCCCATAATTACCCGGTAGCGACCCGCTTTGATGACCCGCCCCACTCACCATTTTAAATCCTGGCCGTTTATCTTTCAAGACCAACGACCCTCGTTTTCCCCCCTTTTTAATTAAACCCTCACCCCCAAAACCCTACTCTATTCCTTAGAGACCCGCCACCCTCATTTGCTCTCATCTCCCTTCTGCCTCTTCAGAAACCCTAAGGCCGCCGCCCACTAAAATCTCTCCTAATCCCACATAATTTGGGATTCCATGGTTATTCTTTGCCATATACGGCCTCTCTTTGGCACCAATTACTTCTCTATACTGCTTGCCTAAACATGACAAGCAGATCTTGTAAGAATCGAACCAAAGTTGGTTCAAATTCTTGATTTTTTTGTTTATTCCATCTATGTTCATCATTTGCTCTTCGTAAGTACGATTATTTTCTTAATCTCTTGTTGATTCTTACTTACCCTAAATTAGGGTTTTCAAATCTCTTTAGACCGGACCAAAATTGGTTCGATTCTCTAATTTCGAGTATTATTTGTGGCTATATTCATCCTATGCTACTGATTTTGTGTATATTCCGTTGATATTTGTTTTTCCCAAAAAACTAGGGTTTACTTATTTTCCCAAATCTGATTCTTTATTGATTCTGTGTATTACCGTTTCCTTATTTGTGTTTGATTTTACAATTTTTCTTGTTTACTCGTTCAACTCACTTTATATAATGGACTTATAATTGTAATCATGTCAACTCACTTTATATAATATCCATGTGATGTCACATAACAAAATTATTTTTCAACCCAACTTAATGTCCGATATTTAATTGTTGTATATTTTGAAAATATAATTCTAACTTTCCAATTGGTTCCCCGATTTTCTGATGTCTCCAACAGTTTTAGGCATGGTAACTTTGTTGTTTCCACGTGTTGCTCCTTTCCAATATACACCATATTTTTAAAATTTTATTCCCTATTTAATAAAATTCCGAGTTCGCCCTAAAATAAAAAAATAAAAAAAGAAATGGTCTTAATTATGGGTTTACAAGGAGATAAGCAGGTTAGGGTGCAAATTTTAAAAAATATTACTAGGGCAGACTTTGACCAATTTAACCTTTTCTTTTTTTGCTTCACGGTAATTTATTTAATTCGAACCGAGAACAAATCTTTCCATCTGAAAACTTATCAATTACGAACAAAATAGTTTAAGGTTTAGCAGAAAGAACAACATTATAAAACATACTAGTATTAGTACCCGCGTGATGCGCCAATAATTAAAAAGAATGATGTACACCATAAAATTTAATATGTTAGTGTTAATACCATCTTTATAACCAAACATTAAAAACATATTAAGACTCCGGTAAAACTTTCATTCCATCTCCTAATAAATGTTCCATAAGAAATAATGATACTATACAATTTGCTTGATATGAATGTTCCACGATAAATAATAATGCTATACAATTTGCTTGATATAAAGCATGTGCCTAAGGGAACATTATTGTAGCAAATGCTCATGGACATAATTTTCCAGAAGTTGTCCTTTGTATTGAGGTTTACCACTATAAAAAGGCATGGGTAAAAATTCAAGAATTTTTGATCCTTGGGCGACAATTTTTGACGGAAATGAGAGACAACATATATTGTATTACTGATGAGATAATGAAGAAGACATGCCAGAATAATCTTTAGAAGGAAACTTAGTTGGCATCTAAAATTATTGCACACTTTCAGATATTTTGATTAAGTGTAGAATAAAATATATTCAAATACATCAATAGCTTGGATTCTAGGAAGCCAATAGATCTCATCACGCCAACATCAGAATCTAGATGAGCTTCATGCACTTGGACTGCAGATAACATAGTCACAGGCCACTGTTCCATGTCACTACAGGTGACATCTTTTTAGACTTTCTCAATGCATCTAGCTTATATTATGCTCTCTGCAATAAATTATCCAACTTTGCATTAAAGTAAAAAGTTGCATACTACCTCAATATAGAATTCCTCAGTTTCTGGTTCTTTGACCACTGTTGTTGTCCACCCAGCAACAGATGAGGATTGCTAGTATAATCCATTAGTATTCTCCATTTCTCACTAATCTGCAAGCTCTAACACGACAATATCACTCAAATATGATAAAAATTTGTGGCATATTAATCACAACAACATGACAATAAAATACACAAATGCAGTAACCAATAATGACAGAGAGTAAATCATATATAAAGAAAACAGAGAAATACTTAATTGGCTTCAAGATTTTAGGAGTGAGGCGCTGGAAAAAAAGCTAAAATGTCATCTCTGATGAACTGCGACATAACATAGTTATACCAAATTAAAAATATTAACTAAAGAAAATGATACATAAGACCAAAGGATCATAAGACAATAACAATACTCAATAATTAAATGATAAACCATTTAATAATAACTCTTCCAATAGTTGCATGAATTCGATCTCCCTAAAACAAAAAAATTGAAAAGAAAGTTAAGTTAGTAAGGCGCATAACTTGAAGAAAATACATCACAACTCGAAAAAATAACAACATCTAAAAGAATATGCACCTTTCATCTTGAATAAATAATTCAATTGAATTAGGATTTTCTGGTTTCTCGCGGTCTGGAACGTGCCATCATCTACCAACACGAACCTTCAAATTCCAACTCATTTTGGATGTTGATATTTCGCTGATATAGTTATAGTTTGGAGCTATACTTTGCAGTAGTTTGTGCGTAAGCTAAACCCTAAACAATGTAGAGAAGCCAAACCTAAATAAAAGTTGCTTAAATAAAGATTTCTAAGGAAAGACTATCGAAGTAAATCAATTTTTAGGCCATCTGAAATCCTAATTTTTAAAAACAGTATGTGTAAATCAATGTTTAAGAGCGAATGTGCTCAAGAAATGATACAGATCTTCATTTTTTAGCTCTGGGCTTTTTGAATTTTCAATCTTCATTTATTTTTTTGTTAACCACCAAACTTTAATTTTTCTTGTCTTTTTCCTTTGTCCTCTTGTTAATATATCATTTCCTTTAATAAAATATAGATGTAAGACAAAATATTTATTTAATTAATTCATTCTTAAAAAAGAATACCTACCATAACTGAATTTTACACAAGATTTAATTAAAGATACCTATAATAATGTATATTGTTCACAAATAAGGTCAAATACTAAGTTTGTACTAAATAAAAATTATTATTTCAACTTAAAATTAATGTGTAAGATACAAAACGAAATTAACAAAATTTAATTAATTCTTTCTTAAAAAAAGGATATCTACCGAATTATACACAAAATTTAATTAAAGATACCTATAGTAATGTATATTGTTCACAAATAAGGTCAAATACAAAGCTAGTACTAAATAAAGAATTATTATTTTAACTTAAAATAAATGTGTAAGATACAAAACAAAATTAACGAAAGTTTAATTAATTCTTTCTCAAAAAAAGATGCATACCATAACTAAAATATACACAAAATTTAATTAAAGATACCTATAGTAATGTATATGATACATATAGTAATGTATATTGTTCACAAATAAGGTCAAATACAAAGCTTGTACTAAATAAAGAATTATTATTTTAACTTAAAATTAATGTGTAATATACAATGATTCTTTCTCAAAAAGGATACATACCATAATTGAATTATACACAAAATCTATATTATACACAAATTTAACTAAAGATATCTATTGCATCCTTTTTTTTGTACGTCTTTGGTCATTAAAAAGAGAATATTTTATTTTTAGTTTAAATCTTAAAATAATTGGCTTTGATTAATTAAATAATGAAATTCAACTTACAGAAAATCTTGGACTACTATTTCCATTAAATATGTTTCCATTTAGGCAGAATACATAAAATGACACCTGAACTTGTACCCCAAATCCCTGTTACACACCTGTTGACCACAGGAATATTTTCAAACACTCAACCTTTCAATATTGTATCTATTACACACCACTTTGATATTTGACCACTTCTTTTAAATAGGTGCATGTCACGCACCAATATCATCATGACATGTGTTATTAAGTTAAAAAATAAAAAAAAGGTCTCCAGCAAATTTTTATTTTTTAAAAAAAGGAACCCAGGCAAAAAAAGAAAAAGAAAAGGGAACTCATCTTCTTCGCAAGACCAACATACCAAAAATTTTAAAATCAAGCTTAGACTTCTTCAAGTCTAAGATCCAACACTTAATTCAAAACATTGTTCTTTGGCATTCTTCAACAAGTTTCAATCCAACTCTCAATTCGTCTCCAAATGAGTTCCAACTTGAAATGGAGCTTCTAAACAAGAACTAATTCAGTATCCAAATATCAATTTTAGTAAAAAAATAATTTCAAATAAACAATTTTAGTATTGTTCTCTTGATTTAGCAAGTGTTTTAGCTATTGCAATCATCGAATTCACTAGTAGTACATTGGTGGTTGAATCGTAGCAATATTTGCATAACCACCATCGTAAATTGCTTGACCTTGAGAATGCATAAGAGCTTGGGAATGCATGAGTGCTTGTGAACCGCCCATTCTAGCCAAAGCAAGCTGCCATTCATAAGCGGCAAGATCAGTCGCTGAAAAACCAGGGACATGTGCCATGGCTGGAAGAGGAAGAGGGGTAAAAGTTGTTCCTGGTGGAGTAGGCTTGCTTCCCCACGAGCACTCAATAGGTTTACCAAAAAGGAATTGGGCACTTCCCAACTGAATTGCTCGAGCAGCTTCAGTATGGGTGCTGTATCTTATGAAACCAAAACCTTCACTTGTTTGTGCTGAGCGTGCATGCTTTACTTGCTCCTTCTTAAGCTGGTCTGGTGGATTTCTTTCAGTTTTGGCCTTTTTCTTGCAAGCTTTCAGCTCTTCACACTTTTCCCTATGTTTCCTTCCTAGAAGATGGCACTTCAAGTCATGCTCTGATTTGGTTGTTATTTGACATACTGCACAAGTCCACTCTTTCTGAACGTTCTTTAAGGAATTAGTCTCCCGGTGTTTAATCTCTTTGGGATTATCTGTTGGAACCGTTGTTTCCTTGATCGGCACACTTGTTGTTTTCTTCCCAGCCTGAACGAGTTTTTCCTTCACACTTTTAACCTGCAGTTCCACACGGAATACTTTAATCACTGGCTACGGATTACTTTAGCTTTAATTTATCATAAAAAAATAAATGCTAGGCTAGAATAAAGGTGGTGCTAATGTTTTAAAAGAACGCTTCAATTTTCTCACCTTCTTAGTGGCTTCAAATGTTTATAGGAGAAACTGAGGTTTGACTAAGCACAAAATTTAAGAAAGAAAGTACAACTTTTAAAGTTTGTGATATTAAATATGTCATAAGTAACATTTATAAAACTTTTGAAATTGTGGTCTTAAACAATGCCATAACATTTGTTAATTTGATGGTAAAATGGGAAATTTAAATCGAAATTATTTCCAAATTTAGAAGGTATCACTCTTTTTGGAATTGTGGAATCAACCACTGGTGCTTGTATGCCTACACACACCCTCTTTGGGTGCGGCCCTTCTCGGACCCTGCATAAACACGGGATGCTTTGTGCACTGGGTTGCCCCATTCTTTTTGGAACGGACTAACAAAGAAATAGTATAATTCTTTTTCGATCAGATGGAGTATCTTCATCTATTGTTTGCTCAACAACTGCATCCTGAGCAATACTTAATATTCCAAGAAAGACCAAGGAAGTTCTAGGGTTAAAAAATTGACAACCTGTTTGGGGTCAGCTGCTTCATTAGTACTGTGCTCTGATTGTGGTGCAGCTGCATGTTTTACTTGCTCCTGCTTAAGCTCATTTGACTCTTTTGTTGAAACAGGTAGGTCTCCTTCGCTCTTGGCCGTTTGCTTGCAAGTTTTCAACTCTTCACACTTTACCTTATGTTTCCTTCCATTAAGATGGGACTTCAAACAATGCTCTGAGCTGGTTGTCACTTGGCATACTGCACAAGTCCACTCTGTCTGAACTTGCTTTATAGAAGTAATCTCTGGAAGTTTAATCTCTTCAACATCTGCTGGAACAATCGTTTCCTCGACCTGCATTCCTACCGTTTTCTTCTCAATCTGAATTTGATTTTCCTTCACACTTTCAACCTGCAGTTCCACAGGCGTCTTAATCACTGGCATACAGATTAATACTTATGCTTGATTATAGAAAATAAATACTAGGCTAGAATAAAGAGGGTACTGATGTTAATATTTTTTTTAGAGTATTACGTCTCTCCCTTGGTAAATTGCAAGGATTCCTTGATCTGCTGGAAGCGTTGTTTCCTTGATCGGCACACCTGTTGTTTTCTTCCCAACCTGAACTAGATTTTCCTTCACACTTTTAACCTGCAGTTCCACAGGGAGTATTTGAATCACTGGCTACGGATTACTTTAGCTTTATCATAGAAAAATAAACGCTAGGCTAGAATAAAGGTGGTGCTAATGTTTAAAAAGAACATAGACCTTCAGTTCTCTCAACTTTTTAGTGGCTTCAAATGTTTATAGGAGAAACTAAGGTTTGAGAATATACTAGGATAAATGAAATCGTGCGAACTTCAAAATTTACAAAGTGCCAGTTTAACTTTCAGGTTGCTTGATGATTGTTTTAGCATATACGAAGCTTCTTCTTAGTTTAAATGATAATGCACTTGATCTTAGTATGCATTATCAATTGCCATCTTGCACATTTAGCTTAATTGATCAGCCTAATCTTTTACCTTCGTAATAGTTAAGTTCATCTTGCAATTTTCCTAACTTGGCCACTAATAGTATCACTTGCAGCTAATTTGCTTTTCTCATGGGAACATCAAGCTCTCCTCTTTTCATCAATCATCACTTAATAGGTTGCTTAATACTCCATCCATTACAACTTATGTGGCATAGTTTGACTAGGCACGAAGTTTAAGAAAAGAATACTTTTGAAACTTGTGGTATTAAATATGTCATAAAATTTATAAGACTTTTGAAACTTGCGGTCTTAAACAATGCCATAACATTTGTGTAGCAAATGCTAATTAAGGTTAAAATGGGAAATTGAAATCAAATTATTTCCAACTTTAGAAGGTGTCATTCTTTTTGGAACGTACTAACAACGAACTAGTGTCATTCTTTTTCGAACAGATGGAGTATCTTCATCTATTGTTTGCTCAACAATTGCATCCTGAGCAAGAAAGACCAAGGAAGTTCTAGGGTTATAAAATTAATAACCTGTTTGGGGTCAGCTGCTTCATTAGTGCTGCGGTCCGATTGTAGTGCAGCTGCATGTTTTACTTGCGCCTGATTAAGCTGATTTGACTTTGTTTTAACAGGTGAGCTTCCTTCACTTTTGGCCATTTGCCTGCAAGTTTTCAGCTCTTCACACTTTGCCTTATGTTTCCCTCCGTTAAGATGGGATTTCAAGTTATGCTCTGAGCTGGTTGTCACTTGACATACTGCACAAGTCCACTCTGTCTGAACTTGCTTTACAGAAGTAATCTCTGGAAGTTTAATCTCTTCAGTATCTGCTGGAACTACCATTTCCTCGACCTGCATTCCTATCATTTTCTTCTCAATATGAATTTGATTTTCCTTCACACCTTCAACCTGCAGTTCCACAGGCGTCTGGCATACATATTACTTTTGCTTGATTATAGAATAACAAATGCTAGGCTAGAATAAAGGTGGTACAGATGTTTTTAAAAAAAATTAAGAGCATTATGTCTCTCCCTTGGTAAATTGTAAGAATTCTAGGTAACTTGCCAGAGCTCGATTCCGCCCAAAATATCCTACCCCAACTTGTTTGTGACTGAGGCAAAGCAGTAGTTGTTATTGTAAATCTCTCCCTTTTCTAAAGTCTTCAAATATTTACAGGAGAAACAGTGGCTCGGAACCATACTAAGACATAAGAATCTAATGCAAGCTTCAAAAGGATTAATTTAACAAAGTGCACCGGTTATTTATGATATTTAAAGGAATGAAAGTATGTGAACACACAAAAAGATTTTCACTAGAAAAGAATAGGAAAGTAACTAGTTTTGTTTCTGTTGTTAACAAAAGAAAAATTCAGACTCTTTGCTGCTTTATTTAAGAAAATTGATAGCTGCATAATGTTGTTACAATAATCTATCGCTCATGTACTTATAATAGTTTAAAGGAATGGAAGGTACACTACATCTATGCAGACGAAGCATTCACGTATTAGTCTGGAACTAAACAAATCTCAAAAATTAGTGCATGTATGTGTATACTGTATACACACACACACTGCTAAGGCAACTTCCCAAATCATTATGGAGTCGAAACACCAATCAAGCAGCAGCACAAGAAGTTAAAAACCGTTTCATACAGTACAGGGAGCTGCATGATTATTCGAAGTATAATCCTTAGACTGAAAATACGAGGTCATGATAAGTCCACAGTTTATGCCTGTTGAAAAATAATCAATAGACCGTCGGCAAGCTCGAGTTGCTACAAAATCCAGTCCAATATGTAGTCATACATTTGCTTCTGTAATGGTGGGAATCTAACTTTTGGCAACTGAAATGGATTAGTAGTCTGAATTTATGCTAAAGTACATCAAAACAACTGTGCGGCCAATTTGGTAATGAATTGGCTACTTCTTGCTAAAGTAACATCTGACATACCTTGCTTGCAATAAGTTTCACCAGCGGATCAGATCCATTTTCCTCAAGATACCTCTCTGCCACATCCCAAAATGTTTCATTCTGGAGAGACGGATCCTCCATTGGCTTGTTAAACCAGTCAGTGAAAGTTTGAAGCTTGACAAACGAGCACAAATAATATGCAAAGTGTTGGCAAACATAACAAGAACCATAAAACTGAGCAATAACATCGTGCAGTTTCAATGGCAAACACGGATGAACAAGATGTTGATAAAAATAACATGCGCCGTTAAACTCAGGTATTACCAACCAACATATGGTAATTAATTTTATATAAGGCCACAAAGGAACCCTGTCAAAGTAAATGAAAAGATATTAATATATGTATCACTATCAGGAGTAGTTTCATAAGTTGAGGCCACTAATTGAGGATATCATAAGTTAACCATAAACGACTTTGAGTTTCCCCTTATTTCTTTTCAAGACTAAAAAAATTTGTCAAATGATCTTGCTAGAAGTTGATCTAAATCAAGTGTCAATAATTCAAAGAGTTCCAATTTCCATATAATTTAAAAAGGATAATGAAAGGAATACACGTAAAATAAAATTTACAAATTTAAGCTTTGCCCCTTTTAATATAGCCAGCTAAGAGTACAGCAGATTACCATTCAATAAGTTTCTCAAATACATGCTCGAACAGAGAAATAAAGGAAAAGATGGTCCAATATGTGACTAGCTTCCTCATGTGATACTTGGAGCCAGTCTCAATCGCTCGGATTGAAGCACATCTGCAGTTCCACAAAAGAATTGCTAAATGTTACCAGTAACAAGCAAAAATACTACACAAGTAACCAAAGCTGGAAATGAAAGCATTCAATACTTGAAACTTTGTTCTGCCTTAGGGTGCATGTTGATATATACATGTATGTATATAAATTATTGAATCCCGGCCTCGACATAGGATAAAATCTTAGATGTGACATTTTTACATTTTTTGAATCCCATTGTTCAAACTCTTGGTTTGCCACCGCCTTTGTCATGGAGAAAAATGTTTCAAACAAAAAATATTTTCTATGAAAAATGTTGTAGGAGGAGAATGCTTACAGTAAAAGGGATTCACTGGAAAATAAATTGGTTTATTTGTTAAAAAAAAGGCTTAAATCCAGAGACGGAGCTAGGATTTGAACCTTATGGGTTTGAGATTATAATCTTTTTTAAGTTAATGGGTTTTAAATTAATAATTTGTACATGTTCATTGGATTTCTTAATACAAATATATGGTTGGAACAAAAGCTACACGGTTTGGCCGAACCCGCAACTAACACTTTAGCTCTGCCCCTACTTAAATCAGAATATGGAATTGTAAGATCACATACTATATATGTCTATGGACTTGTAAAATAGACTTGTAAAGGATAAAGGAAGTGATTAGTATGGAGTAATGGGGAGTTCCCCGAACTTACATAGGATAGCCCAGAGCAACTACCGGCCTGCAAATTTGGTACAGCAAAAAACAAAACAAAATATAAATACACAATCACATACATGCAAAAAACACAATCACGTACATACAAAATACGTACTTGAATACGTAGAATCATGCAAGTTTATGTATAATGTTAAAAAGAAATCAGCACTAATCTGCTAGCTATAAAGCTAAAATCGTGTTCATTTTCTTCTTTACTACTACTACTACTACTCAAGATTAATTTTCATGCCCAAGCTCCATTTTTGACCAAACAAAAACAAGAATGGAGAAAGAAAATGAATTTACCAAGCGAAGAAATCGATCAACTGAAGCGTAAAAATGAGAAAACCCATTTGGGAAAATCTTGTTAATTTTTCTTTCTCTTTCCTTTTGTAGCAATTTCTTCAGCTTGAGTTCTATCAAGTTCTTGTTTGAGTTGATCAGTGGGAAAAAGGAACAGACTGTACTTGAGAAGACTTTCAAAGAGGAAAAGATGAGAGTTAGTTTCCAAAAATAGGTCTTTCTTTTCCTGTAATAACAGAAATACCATAGTGATGTAAATGCTGGAAAAAGACGGACGAGTGGTAATTTTGGAAAACTAATGCTAAAACTGATCCGTCGGTCTTTCTATCTGCCCATTAACTACACTTACCAAAACATTAAAGACATTTTGCTTCCTTAGCCCTGAAGTTTTAATTTTTATTTTTATTCAAAAATTCAATATTGACCTACCCTCGAGTCACGCCCGGAGGGAAGTGTGAAAATACTATATAGTGACGAACCTAAAATTTTGTGCAAGCGGGTTTAATCTTAGAAGTACATAAATTTAGTCGTAAAATAGTAATTGTCAAGTAGACTCAAATAAAATATTTATACGTATTTTATACATATACACGTTATTATTTTTTTATGAAACGGGTTCAGTTGAACCCGTTTGCCACCAAGTGCGTCCGCCACTAACACTATAAATCCTCCTAAATTAGGAGGGATTAAAAAAAATACCCATTTTGTTTATTGCAAAAGCTCCCCCGAGCTTTGGTCTGATTACAGTTGACGAACATATTTGAAATTCAGCGAAGAGTTCTCTTTTTATTTTTCAACTTACTTATCAAATTTTGTTTGCCCCAGGATTCTAATAATTTTGTGACATCTGATTTACATATCATTGTATAGGTCGAAATCTGAACAGAATAATTTTACTTAAGGGAGGACGACCAAGACGACCAAGAACTAACCAAGTCGAGGTCACGTATGAGAAGCGGTATATTAACGAGTGATTCGGCCATGGTCGAGGTCGAACACTCCATCTGGCCTGAACGACCAGTTCAACCTTTAGATATTTTTGGAGGAATATTCCACAGGATATTTCAAGAACTTAAGTACCCTGGTTAAAGACTGTTGGGTAAAGAAAGTGTTTCCATATAAATAAATAGAGTAACTAAAGGGGGGCTGAAACAAAATTCACACACAAATATAGATACATCTTTACAGATGAATGAAAATCTTCATCTCTACCTCCTCGTCAAGGAAAAAGGATAAAGGAAGCTTAGGTCCTCGATATCCATCATTACTTGCATTATATCAAGTATGTGGGGATCAACCTTGTTCAAGAACGGTAACCCTTTTTATCTATGTATTCTTCATTGTCATTTAACATTATGAAAACCATCATCTTTTTATTACATTATGGGATTCAATCATTGTTATAGTTAAATCTTATGTTCAGATATGCTTGTTTATTATCATCTTCTATCTCATATCTAGAATAAATTATCTTCGGCTAGGATTTACCTCAAATCTTTTTATTTAATTAGCTCAATCAAAGAGTCTAACACTTTTTGGTCGAACAATTTGGCGCTGTCTGTGGGGAGGTCCTAGTTAAAAAGTTTAGTTTCTTCTAGATCTAAAAAAACAAAGGCTCCTTTTTCCTTGTTTGTACAAGCTAACAATGACAGGAAAAGAAGAGGAAAGACTGAAAGCAGTGATGGGTGTCACTACCAATCTCCTAGGCACCATCAACGAATTGGACAGGGAAGACGAAGAGAATATGACGTCGAGCGCCTCACCCAGGCAAAGTGATTCACCCCTTCCTCATGGGAGTGTAACCGCTTCACATGAGAAGGGAGCCTCCACGTCCACAGCGGATAAAGCGCCGCCCGCAGTGAAAAAATTATTGGAGGCATGGATGACAAGCACCCTAAGCAGTATACTCCACAAACCCGCGCAAGGGGCGAGTAGGAACATCTCACGAGTTGACACCCCAATAACCATTAGTGAGCAACACGATCCTCCCTCAACATGTAACCCTCACACCGTTGTTGATGCAGGTAACGACACCTTCGTAGTTGTTCTAAGAAAATGAAAAAAATGAAGAATGAGAATAAAGCACTCCGCGACCAAATAAGGGAGCGCCAAGAAAGAGTCGATAAGATACCAGGCGCTCCAAAACTCCTACCAAAATGGGACGTCGCTCGGTTCGTGGAACAACCATACAGCAAGGAGGCAACCCCAAATGCCATACCCAAAAATTTCAAAATGTCACCATACCTAAAAATATACGATGGCACAACGGACCCTGAAGACCATATCATTCATTACGTCACAGCGGTAAAAGGCAACGACCTCTCGAAAGAGCAGGTACCATCACTGCTGAAGAAGTTCGGCGAAACCCTAATAGGAGGGGCCTTAACGTGGTACTCGCAATTACCAGCACGTTCCATAATAGCATTCGAAGAAATTGCTTACAAGTTCGTCACCGCCCATGCTGGGGAGAAGAAAGAAGAGGCAAGAGTGAATGACATATTTGTCGTCAAACAATCGCCTGACGAAGGACTCAAGGACTTCCTCGCCCGGCTCAATAGAGTAAGAATGAGCTTGTCGAACGTATCAGAAGGGATGGTTGTAGCGGCCTTTCAAAACGGGTTAAACAGAAACGGGTCAAGAGCTACCAGAAAATTGTTAAGAAGACTCATGAAATACCTCCCCCCACCACCACCACCACCACCACCACTTGGGAAGAAATTCACAACGCTTACTGCGCCGAGATGAGGGCAGATGAAGATGATCTCAACGGTTCGACCCAACAGCTAATAATAGTCCCAATGGATGAAAGATAGTCGGAATGACATCCGAAGAGATCATGCGGGCCCACGTCTCAACCGGTAAAGGCACCAACCGTACAATAGAACGACCATCCCACTATCTCCACGTCAAGTCGAAGGGACTTCCCGGCCACAAACGGAAACTCACCGAAACGAAAGAGGTATGCCTCCATTATTATCTGCTCACAATTTTTATGTGTCTCCTTCAAAAATAGTTACGCCCTGGAGAAGCTCGGTTCCAAGGTGAAATGGTCACAAAATATGAAGTCGGACCCAAATTCTAGAAAGTCGAATGCCATCTGCGAGTTCCATCAGGAACGTGTCCACAAGGTCGAGGATTGCATAGCCCTATGACAAGAAGTAGTGAACATGCTCCACTAAGGACATTTAAAGGAGTTAATGAGCGATCGAGGGAGAGCCAATTTTGCCTGTGGACGAGAACCACATCAAGTCCCACCAAAGCCACCCTCCCCACAGACAGCGCCAAATTGTTCGGCCAAAAAGTGTTAGACTTTTTGATTGAGCTAATTAAATAAGAAGATTTGAGGTNCATATATATAGGGGAGGTGCTGTCTGTTTCATCGTAAAATAGGTTGTGGTCGATACATAATAGTCGAACAATCACGTGTTGCGTCATTGCCGCTAATTTAAAACCTCAAATCTTCTTATTTAATTAGCTCAATCAAAAAGTCTAACACTTTTTGGTCGAACAATCACGTGTTGCGTCATTGCCGCTAATTTAAAACCTCGAGGTATATTTGTAAAGTCGTCATTATTTTGAGCCTTGCTAATATTTTGTGAGGAGCTTAAATTAAGATTAAAAATATTAGCATAAAAGGGGAGTTACTGTGGGCGGACAAGGTTGAAGGCTCCGTAAAGACCTCGATGAAGTAAGTTTGTGTTATGAACAATAAAAGAAGAAGAAGAGTATTACAGATAAAAGCAGAGAGAGACAGAGAGAATTCTTATTGATTTTGGGATGATTTACAATGGAATAGAACCTTCTATTTATAGGGAGAGGGTGACTTAGCCACCAAGTAATAAACCCTAGAATCTTTTTAAATATAGACATTCACCATAAATAAAATTCTATTTATAACATTCCCCCTTGAATGTCTATTCAACAGATAATGTGCCTCGTTAAAACCTTAACTAAAATAAAACCTAATGGGAAAACATTCTAGAAAAAGAAAAAGAGTACACATATGTAATAACACGCCTTTTGGTTGGCTCATTAAAAACCTTGCAAGGAAAAACTATTGGGATAAAACCTTGTAAGGGAAAAAGAGTACAACGCGTATTAACTCCCCTGTTGAGAGCATTAATTCACATCCTTGAGTCTTCACATTCAAATATTGTGCACCATCTTCAAGAGATCGTTGGTATAGATTTGATAAACAAATCAGTCATATTAACTTGAATGAATATGTTGAACCTTGAAATCATCATTCTTAATAGATATATTGTCTTCATATGATCTTGTTGGAATCGTCGGTTCAATATCTTCACATAGAGGTGAAAACTCTTGCTATCATATTATCATGCCTATAGTTATAGCAAGATACATTTGTGCACAAATTGCACTAAGGAAGTGGTACTTCAAGATCAAGAATTGTATATGCTTCAAGCAACTTAAATACTTCATGGATTGTCATATAAGTTAAGTCATATAAGCCATATAATAGACTTTAGATGCATATCAAGTTTTCATGTCATGCTAGACAAATAAGATATCGAAAACTGACTGCACATATCATTGTCTTTATACTTTCAAGTGTTTGAACGACATGTTCAAAACTACATGTCTTTCATATTAAACCCATTCTATTTGAATTGTGTATCGTTTATTTGGCCAATACTTTTGTGTTTGTCTCGACAGTCTTAAGATCCTCAGCTATACTTAGCGCTATCATAGATGTCGACGACGAACATTTTATATCTGTTCCAATCTCCTTATTTTTTATAAAGACATAACATAGAAATCTCTTCATTCATATATTCAAGTACCTGAATCTCTCATGAGAATTTATGAAGTGTTATGTCATGTGATCTTCTAGATCACTTGCCTCCTTATTATGATCATTTTGATCATTTGCTTATCTCCTTTATCAAGAAGTTATTTGAAACCGATTTGTCTATATGCTTTAAGCGTACCATAGACTTTGTTCTTCTAGGACTTAATATGAGCATTTGCAATGAGAATATAGTTACTTTCTTTGGGTCAACAAATGCGTCTAGCATAATTTGCAATATATTGCAAATGGATTATCTTTTTATGAACTTCAAGTTCATATTATCGTATTCGAGGATTTAGATATACAAATGATAATTCATTCCACGTAACTTTTTCTCAATTGTTTATCATGTCTCTCACTCATGTTAGAA